TCTTGGACGAGTAGGCTTATTGGGTAGGGGCAGTCTATCTCGGTAATATTATGGACGGTGTGCAGTGGTCAGGGTTATGCTTGTTCGACGTACACTTTTACCTTTGAGGTAAATGACGTCAGTTCCATTACAACCATCTTGTTCTAAGACCGCCTCTCGACTCAAAGTTTTATTCAAGTAAACAGAATTTAAAAAAACGTATAAAAATGTGATTTATTCCTATCGGTTTTGTGCATTATACAATCTCCTAGTAATTACTACCATTATGGGGACGGTGATCACAAAGTAGGTGTGCTGACGTCATTTACCTTTTAACACAGGTTCTTCCCACTTTAATTTTGTGGAGAGTATAGTATGGTACAGCAAATAAGAGTTCTACGCGATCTACGTAGAGGATGAATTAAAAGTGGAGCTTTACCAAATGTTAACAATAAAAATGAGATGTTAACCGCAAGGTTCTCGAGGACCAAGTATCCATCTACTTGGACTCTCCCTAATGGTGTCCATTTCATCTCCGTCAAATGCTGTAATAGCTATGCCATTACCACTACATCGACAAAACATACTGGTTTCCAAGTCTCAGGATTAACAGTGAACAATGTACCTGTTCAAAACACCTGTAAAGATCTAACAACAAACATCACAGCAAACACGGCAATCAACTAACTTTATTGATAGATTTAGAAAGATTTGAAATTAGAGATCGAGATGACAACAATACGTCGCAGAGCATCATACTACCAACATAAACGTTGTTATAGGGGAGAATTAATAGCAGAACTTCTTCTCTGTAATGAAAAGCATTTTACTAACAGTCGCATTGGAATCAGTGGGTCACCACGGACATCGGTATTGTGCTCTGGAGTGTACAAAACATCCTGTCACCTACTGCGCATTAGTTGACACGTCCTCCCAACAACTATAAACCTAACCGAAGTGAAGGCTGTCTACGAAGGAAAACCACATTTTTGAAATATTCAAAGCACTTAGAACATTTGTAAAAAGATTGCGCTCCTAAGTGCATCATCTATCTATTTGATTGCGGATAATGTGCAGAAGCAGGAGCAGTATGATGTGAAGTGGATGGCTTCCAAATCGAACATTGGAAAGTTGTCACCAAAGATTAACAAAGCAAATGGATAAGCAGGCTGCGTGTTAATGAAAAAGAGTGTAGTGTAAAAAGACAATTTAAAAATGAAGAGGTAAGTAGTAGAAATGGAAGTGCTTTGGATGCTTTGACATCAGAAGATGGTAGATTTCGAACACCAGCATCTTGAAATTGGTTGCGTGAATGGTTAAGTAATATCACGAAGAGACAGATAATAGCCAAAATGGCAAAGTCCAAGTTAAAGCCACCGTCACTTGAAGAGAGGGACCTGAAAAAAACACAAAAGAAAATGGAATAAAGTAAACACTAATTAGTGAATGGAGAAAAGCAAGAATAACAAAATTGCAAATAAAAATTGACAAGAAAGAAAACACATCAAGGGGTAACGGATAAAAATAAAGGACCTAACATGAAGGGATAATAATAGAAAGTGAAGATTAAATTCAAAATGCATAAGAAATACCACAAAACGAGAAAACGAATGAAGAAAATGGAGAGACAAATTAATGAGGAGGAAATAAAACATAAAACAGGAGAGAGAAGAACGTGCCCAAACTGGAAATGGAAGTTGGCGATGGAGAAGTAGGAGGAGACGTTTCTGTTGCAGGG